AAAGGTAAAGGTAAAGGTAAAGGTTCCCTTCACACATATGTACTAGTTGTTCCCAACTCTAGGGGGCGGTGCTCATCTCCGTTTCAAAGCTGAAGAGCAAGCGCTATCCGAAGCCGTCTCCATGGTCATGTGGCCGGCATGACTAAATGCTGAAGGTGCATGGAATGCTGTTACCTTCCCACTAAAGGTGGCCGCTATTTTTCTACTTGCATTTTTTACATGCTTTTGAACTTCTAGGTTGGCAGAAGCTGACACAAGTAACGGGAATTCACTCCATTACGTGGATCTAGAAATTTGAACTGCTGAACCGCCGACTTTTATGATCGACAAGCTCAGCGTCTTAGTCACTGAGACACCGTGGCCGAGTCGGGCCAAACTGCTCTTTTATTGATCCAGAGTATTTCCTGCATCTTGTTGTTCTGTGAATGACTCACATTTTTTACATCAACTCCTCATTGCTTTAACCTGGAATACCATCTGGCTCCTAGTCCTAAAAATGATTCCTAGCTATTTAATCTACATGTTTGGGCTTTACTGTTTTACTTGGCCCCATGGTTTCCACTTGCTTTGTGTTTTGCCTTGGAATATGTTGTTGAAAAAGATTTTGCATACAAATAAAAACTATGGCTCAGAGACAGATCTCACTTTCCAAGCTTTCACATATAGAACTTTACCTCCACATCTCGTTCCTCTGCTGAGATACTGACAAAATTTTCATCGGGAGAAGACTCAACAGGAGTTGACTAAGAAAAAAGAAGAGAAAACTGAAAAATGTTTATGGGCAAATAGTATCCTATAAGGACAAAACATAATCTACCAAATCACATCAGTAGGACCAACCCAAACATAACCAAACATTGTTTGTCTTTATGAAATGCTAATTTACTTCTTTACTTCCTCCCTGAATGAAAAGGAGGCATTTGAAAAGATACGGAGATGATTTTCCAGGAATCAAGTTTGTGCTGTTCCCAGGACAATGACATGGTGGCTACAGACACCTTTTGGGCAACTGTCTTGAATGTTAGATGTGTCCACTCAAGCTCCATTCAAAACATGTACCGGACTATTTAAAAAAAAACCCACTATGTGGGGATTTCTTTTAAAAGTGACAAGCATTATGAAGTAATTTGCCTGAATAAGTTTGCTTGCATCAAATCGGGAGCTACTTTTTTCATCCCCCTGTATTGCAGCTTCTGCTGCTGCTCGTCCCTTGATCAGTCTGGAGTTTGATCTACTTACATCTCCTTCTGAAGGTACCTCACTGACAACAGCAGGGGATGCAGCCATGTCTCCATCTTCTTCTGTGCCCGGGGCTACGTAGGAACCTGACATGGAAGACATGGTATCTGTGCTGATTTCGGAGTGCTGACTTTGGGAGGAGGCCATAGACATGACTGACTGAGCCAGACTGCTACTAACAGGATCTAAGGGAAGAAGGGAGGTGGCAGATAAGGCAGAGTGAGAGAGAGATGTTAGAGGAGCCACCCTTGCTACAGTAATATTTGCATTTCACTATGTGCAATCTTGAGCATCATTTGCTGGAATGGTGGGGTGAACTTTAACAAAAAACCATTCAGCCAGAAGTATTTATGAGTGCCCAAGTTTCAGTGGTGGTTTTGCTCTAAACAATTGCATTTCTTGTGCTGCTGGGCTCAGAATATAGTCAATAAGATCAAATATTATATCTAGCTTCTGCTGAATTGTCTCTGGACAGTTCATAAAAAAGTTTGTCCACCTCAAAACCTTACAGATTAAGTGACCCGCAAACTTCTTCACAATTGCAATAGCATAGCTTTTCATCAGTTAATGAACATAATATCCTGGATTACGGGACATATAGGCAACACATATGCAAAATCATTTATTTGGAAGTAGGTTATAGAGTGGATGTGAGGCAGGTCCTTTAGCTGTATCTGAAAATCTTGTCAAGAAAACTGCAAGGACTAGTAAGACAGTCTCCAAAAATCAACACCGAGTCAAAGGCAGAAAAATTCAACTTGCATTAAACAGGAGGAAAGAAAAAAGATTAGAAACACCTTTTCTACTGTACCTTCTGGAGAAGAAATGGTAGAAGAAAGAGGTGTTCCTGTGCATGAAGATGGATCTATTGCTCCTGAGGAGGATAGGGTGATATTTTCGCTTTCAGGTGTCACACCACAATTCTGAAAAACAGGGAAACCATAATCTATAATGAAAAACTATTATGAAGTAAGTATTACAAACTGGATCCAACTCAGTCACTCAGTCTGACCACTATATTAGCTTATGCTAACTAGGACACCTTCATTACTTACCAACCAACATGGGCATTACTGAGAATTCTGAAGGACATAAAGGGAAATTGGTAGATTTCCCCAAGATAGCTTTAAATTAAGAAAGATGTGAGAACAAGAAGAAAATTTGGAAGATCTTGAGTCATTTCCCCAAACCAACTGAAACACTGGAAAAAGTTACCTTTTCAAGATCAGTCTTATCAAATGTTACACTCTAACCCAAATCTATTTTTAAGAGGGGTGTTATGTGCTACCGCCTGTGGGTACAGAGAGTAACCAAAGTCCTATCACTTTCAGATAGCAAATCCTCATTACCCCTAACCAACAGAGATTTTACTCAGCATTTTTGTATCTGGCAAAGCAATTTTAACTGAGGTGAGAGTAATTCCAGAGCTTGTAAAGTTCAGTTCTCTTTCAAGGTAGATATTTGCAAGCACCTCTGATTCTTTTCCAAGTCTAAATTCACTAACATGCTTGCAGATTTAACTCCTTTATATGCAAAGGGAAAAATCTTCCTTTCCCTAATGTATCTTCTATACTGTAGGTCTGCAGGAGGAAAAAAGTGAGCAGCAGTTAGGCTCAAGTAATTTTTTTTTTAAAAAACAGGAATTTTAAAATAATCACCTCTCCACGAGGACAGGGAGACTTCCTTTGGGAAATCCTGACTTCAGATTCACTACAAGCCTTATCTTCTTCTTCATGTAATACCGAGGAATGTTGTGAGATTGACCTGGTGAAAACACACAAACTAAATGTAACACCTTTGTAGAAAACACACAAATTAGAATGACGGAATGGGGGTCTTCAAAAATGCTACAGAAGACTCCATTAAGAGCTAGTTAGATACATTAATAAATCTAGTGGTCGGCATAGGCTTCACAGGCACCTGTGAATAATACTCGAATCTATGACAATACTCAATGACGTTCATGGCTCCTCACCATTTTTTAAATTATTACTTCTTTAAGAAAACTGAAATGCCTAGATATTCATGCAGGGATGGGCTTTTGGGGGTTTGCAGGGGTTTGGGAGCTAAGATTCTGTGCAGTTCGGAGAACCCGCAAATCCCACTCCTGGCTGACCCTACCCACCCCACCCCACCCCTCCCAAGAGTCCTCACGCACCCTTTTTTGGATGCAGGTAAGTGCAGAGCACATGCGGAGGCTCAGGGAGAGCAAAAAACAGGCCTCCTGGGGAGGCTGTTTTCGCCCTCATGAAGGCTTAAGGAAAGCCTCTGAAACCCGGGGAGGGCAAAAACACCCCCCACCCCCCCGCACTGTGGTGCAGGAGGCCAACTAGGCCTCGCCCACCATAGCCACGCCCACCCAGCAACTAGGCAGAGAACCCCTGGCTAAAATTTTTGAAGCCCACCCCTGCATTCATGAGATCTATGTTCTCCAATGAGAACCTAGCCTTTTAAAAATTGCAATAATAATCAAATAATTGTCTGAGGGAGACCAAGCAAAACCATATGAATCTGAATCTGAAAAGATTGCTCACCAAAGGATCGACCAAACAGACTTAAGGAATAGGATATTGGCCATAAGGTTCTACTGCTGGCAGCTCATTTATTGTTGTGCAAGAGGGAAATGACAAGAGGTCACTTACTTGGACAGGCTCTTCTTTAATTTATGTCCTTGACTGCCACAATCTGATAAGCGTTCAAGGGAAGGCAGTGTCTGGATGGGAGGCAAGTGGCTGTCACTGCCATATGTGGGTAGCATGCCTGACACATGGTTGTCCCCAAGCACACGGACTGGAAGGGCTGCTGGGGATGGAGTGAGAGGCCCATTAAGGGCTTCCAGCAAGGAGACAACCTCATAGCCAGGAGGGATGTTTTCTGAAGACTGGAGGAACAGACAAGGGTATGAGAAAGAGAGGTTATTCTTAAGCAGCAGGAACTGTTACCAGGAAGCTCAAGACAGAACAGGAAGCTCAGAAAACTCTCAAAGAGTACACAAAATAGAAAGAGAGACCAGGATCCCTGATGGAAGAGGAGTGGCTCTGCCACTCTGGAACAGAGTTCTCTTCAACACTGTGGAAATTGGATTGCTTTTAAAGGGAGGTTAAAAATCTTTAATCTGCATTAGCTGATAACCCATTGTTGCCCGGATATTTATTTATAGGGGGGAAATGTCCGGACCAAACATAATTTCTAATGTACACACAAACACACACATATAGCCATTTTTATATAGAGAGATTACTTGGTTAGTAAAGGTTTTAGTTTTTCAACCCTATTCTTTTTTTAGCTGAGAGTACTGTGTCAATACATTCACATTCTCATTCATTCTCACCCCCCTCCCTCTCCCCCTCCCCCCCTCTCTCATAACTGGTTACTGGGGCTTGAGCTACCTTTACTGAATTGATTTGCAATTATTATCTTTTTTTGCTGTTTTTTTAAGGCTGTGCCTTGGTCATGTCATGTAATAATTAATTAATAGTTGCCTAGTTTAAGCTCTTTATTCTAAGCCAAGTAATTTGGATTTCTTAGCTTGAAATATTTTAGCTGGTAGAGAAGATTATGGTGGTTTTATGACCTAAAAAAGGATAAACAGTCAGGAAGAAAAACACATGCACATTAAGCACAGTCTTTCTGAACATAAATAAAAAAGACCTTTGTGGTCACACTCTTCTATACTTTTGCCATAAAAAATAAAGACTTAGCTCACTCCTTCTGCAGAGAAATTCTTGACTCATATTTCTACAGATGATACAAGCCACTTCTGTAGAAATGGGAGGAAAAATGTTCTATGAATTTCCCAAAAAGTGGATTGAATAAGATTAGGCTAGAATTCTCTTTTCCAGCATCAAGTTTTCTAAATGCACATTTGTTTAAAGACGAATTAGTAAATAAGGAGGATCACTGAACAATATAATCTGCAGGCTGAATCACTATAATTTAAAATGCCTTACCAGCTTTGAATATTGCAACTTAGTTATTGAGATATTCTAGTTCTCCCCTAAACTTCATACTGGATCTGTGCTTAAGTGTGCATGCACATAAAAATATGGTGCTAGCAACTGCCTTAATCATCTCATCTGCCGAGATGCCGGCAAGTTCTCTAGCTCCTGGGTTCCCGCTTCTGGCGCATCATGTTTACTAGCTTGATTCTGCTTGGGGAATGACTGTTATGCTCCCTGAGCAACCTGGAGGAAAGATGGCAATTTTTTCATATTTATTTTTAGAAAATATATTTTGCCTTTTCACTGTTTTTAAAAATCCCAAGGAGGATTTTTTTTTTGCTTCTTTCTTCTTTAGCACTTGTACAAGTTAAAATGTTTAAACAAACACATTTTTTCTTCCATAGTTGTGAAAAATACTATGCCTCTGAAATTTACTACTACTCTATTGTCTCTCACACTTTGGTATAATTAATTTGGGAAGATAGTATAGTTGTGCAATTGGTTCTCGTTCTGCACAATGAACGTATCTTAAGTCTATTCTTTTTTCACAGTTTTACACATGCAATGAACATGACTGGAAAGGAAAGACAGAAAAATCCATTTAAATATCGCCCTTCTTCTCAAACGCAAGCAGGTCACAATAAATACTGCTTGAATTGGTTCTTATTTGTCTTCAGAGTTTTTCAGTGGATTTAGATAAAATCTGGGCTTGCCATTTCCAGTTCTAATGTCATTACAACTTCATTGTCAGTGGCATTTCTTTCTGGATTACTCCTCTACAGAAAAGGTGGAATTGGGGGGAAAAAGCTTCACGGTGCTCAACTCTTCTCCCAAAAAGGATGAGCAGCCCAGAAGACCATCTCAGCCAAGACGGAATAAGATCAGCATCTGAACAATCAAACAAACCCATACTCACTGAATGTTCCTCTGAATCGGATGTCTGGGATGCAATGATGGGGTTGAAGTTGGTGGGGGAGAGGGGTCCCATTTTTTTCCTCATGGCTCTGATCTGTAACAAGGCCCGAAATGCTGTGAGGAAGAAACGGGAGAGGGATGGAGAAGGACATTTTAAATTCTGCTAGAAATCTCTCTGAAAAACCACCCAAGGTAATAGGTGACTGTGACCACTAAAATACAAGTCAAATATGATCACAGTTGGCTGCACTTCTGATACCCTGTTTCCCTGAAAAAAAAACCTCCCCGGATAATAAGTCCAGTGGGGCTTTTGAGTGCATGCCCTAAAATAAGCCCTTCCCAAAAATATTGCAACACAACAGCAGCCATGAGATGACCATGCTCGCCGCCTCCTGCACCTCAAAAATAATAAGACCTCCATGAAAATATTGCAACACAGCAGCAGCCAGTGAATATTTTGGGGATCAAAAGAAAATAAGACCCTATCTTATTTTCGGGGAAACACGGTAGTTGGTTGTTAAAAATTAAATAATTTAGCAATAGCAATAGCAGTTAGGCTTATATACTGCTTCATAGGGCTTTCAGCCCTCTCTAAGCGGTTTACAGAGTCAGCATAT